GCTCTGCTCTGCTCTGCTCTGCTCTGCTCTGCTCTGCTCTGCTCTGCTCTGCTCTGCTCTGCTCTGCTCTGCTCTGCTCTGCTCTACTCTGCTCTGCTCTGTCGGGCAAGCAAAGCTAAACATGATGTGATTTCCCTATTTTTTATGTCATATATTTTTTCCATTGTGCAGGTTCCCCGTATGACGACGCTGTTCACTATTGGCCRCTTAACAATGGAACAGGTTTACGAGACGTCGTTACAAATACAACTGGAATAAGAGACGGCCTCGTCAAAGAGATTCACTTCGAGGGGAAGGGACCCGAGTATCTCTTCATATCCAAATCACGTGTTAATCTGGGAAACTTTAAAGGCAGTTGCCTCGTAGACCCAACCCAATGCAGTCCTTACTTGACAGTGTCCCTATGGTTGAGGTACTCCAGAAGAAGGGACATTTTTAGAAAACAGTTCTTCATAGGGACTAGAAGGAACCTTAAACATGGGGGACAACCGGGTTTTTCTATCATTGCCGATCCCAAAAAGGGGTCCATGGATCGCGTGACAATCTACTTCAACACTGASAAGAAATTATGGACTGGACACGTTAATATTCCGCATGGGATCTGGGCACAAGTAGGATTCACGTGGTCGAACGCCAGTGGTTTAGTTATTTTTAGAAAATGCGAGAGAGTTCAGTCTATAGTTTCTGGAACTGCGCAGATTTCGTCACRGAAGAGTAATAAAAACCTTTATCTTGTTAAAGCTCCCGGGAAAGGAAAAGCGGCCTACAATATTTCATTTGATGATATAGCTGTGTGGTATTCACCCTTGAATCAGATGCAGAAAGGACGAATTTGCTCGCATAAATTAGGTAAGTCTAATTTGTTCTAATAAATTGGGTACGTTTTGTGTTGCCTTATTTAGCAAGCCAGCAAAAGCTGCTGTCCTGATAAATAACATCCATTGTTTGATCCTCGGTGACCTCACACACTTGTTTTAAGGAGCAAGTGTGGCTTGGTTGGTTAGTGTACTGCCTGCTAAGCAAGAGGTTCATAGTTTGATCCTCAGTGACCTCGCACATTTGTTTTAAGAAGCAAGTGTGGCTTGGTTGGTAAGTGTGCTGCCTGCTTAGCAAGAGGTCCATAGCTTGATTCTCAGTGACCTCACACACTTATTTTAAGGAGCAAGTGTGGCTTGGTTGGTTAGTGTGCTGCCTGCTAAGCAAGAGGTCCATAGTTTGATCCTCAGTGACCCCATACACTTATTTTAAGGAGCAAGTGTGGATTGGTTGGTTAGTGTGTTGCCTGCTAGGCAAGAGGTCCATAGTTTAATCTTCAGTGACCTCACTCACTTGTTTTAAGGAGCAAGTGTGGCTTGGTTGGTTAGTGTGTTGCCTGCTAGGCAAGAGGTCCATAGTTTGATCCTCAGTGACCTCACACACTTGTTTTAAGGAGCAAGTTTGGCTTGGTTGGTTAGTTTACTAACTAAGAAGCAAGAGGTCCATAGCTTGATCCTCAGTGACCTCGCACATTTGTTTTAAGGAGCAAGTGTGACTTGGTTGGTTAGTTTACTAACTACGAAGCAAGAGGTCCATAGCTTGATCCTCAGTGACCTCACTCACTTRTTTTAAGGAGCAAGTGTGGCTTGGTTGGTTAGTGTGTTGCCTGCTAGGCAAGAGGTCCATAGTTTGATCCTCCGTGACCTCACACACTTGTTTTAAGGAGCAAGTGTGGCTTGGTTGGTTAGTGTGCTCCCTGCTAAGCAAGAGGTCCATAGTTTGATCCTCAGTGACCTCACACACTTGTTTTAAGGAGCAAGTGTGGCTTGGTTGGTTGGTTTACTGCCTGCTAAGCAAGAGGTCCATAGTTTGATCTTCATATATTCTACCGTAATGGTTGATGGTTTGTCTTCTTCAGAGTCCCCAGTGTTAGTGTCMACGTGCGATTCTGGTCCARCATGGCTGACGGTCAAATGGAAGCCGTCAGACCCAGCCTACGATGCGATAACAGGTTTTTACGTGTTTTACAAACTGAAGACAAAATGGATGAAAATACAAACCAATAGCTCAGTGCGCATGCTCAGGATTGCTGGACTAGGTAAGAGGCTTTAATGCTATAATAGTGGAACGATTCTTTAATTTCAAATTCAGCTCTGTCGCTAAACAATTTTTGTGATTGTGGGAAGAACAAGAGACAGTAGATCTGACGACGTTTGTTTAAAAAATCACAGCGCGCACACACGGTTTGTGACAAAGGCACGAGTCTCTATCGTATTTCACTTGATGGCATCATTGTTCTTGCATTTATCAGATCCTTCGTCGCCCGTAGAAATTCGAGTGCAGAACAAAATCCACAAAGGCCATGGAAGAACCAGCAATACAATTATCTGTAGAACTTCTGACCTTCACGGTAAGTCACGAAGAATGTGATACGTAGAGATTAAAGTCACTTTGACTTCTACGTCACGTTACACACTGATCACCTGTTTTCTTGTATCCGTCGACGGTACCCACTAGCTTGGGAGGGGAGAATGGGGGTGATAAGTCATGAAGAACATAATACATGGAGGCCCTAGTCATGTGACGTCTACATCACGTGACTCGCACGTCACGTGTCATCTCTTATCACGTGGTTTTCATTCAGCTTAATGTACAGCTTGTATGTTTTCTCTCTCACAGCACTTGGAAGCCCATACAATCTTACAGTAGAAGCCACTTCTTCTCGTACTCTTCTCATTAAATGGAAGCATCCAGTAAACAAGACCGGTGTGCGAGGATACTGGGTAACAAACTTTAGTGATCTTAAACTATGAGGGAGCGAGCGAGGGAGGGAGGGAGGGGGGAGAGGGAGG